ACCTTTGCCAAGGTTTTTAAATGTATATTATGCATATTCTTCAAGCCTATTACGAGGTGATTAGGGGATAAAGCAACAAAGGAAACAACTAAGTAAACACCAAGAAGTCCGCCTCCGTTAGAAGACCCAGACTTTAGGAAATCCATCTCCAAGTTCTAGGACCACAGACTGACTCTTCTTCACAGCCTTCAGATCCAGTCTCTAATTTGGCACATCTGGAGTGGAGGTGCATGGTCTCTGAACTTGCAAGGATGTGAAGGCTTGATGGCTAAAGACCCAAATGTGTGCATCTCCAACTTGAGGAGAGTTTTTAGTCCATTGTAAGGGGCACTCTATAATTTTCCTGATTTACATTTTCTGTCATCAGTTGCACATCTTCTTGTTAAAGGACAAGTCTCACCCCATCTTTTAGTAGTATTCAAGCCTATGAAGCCAGATTTGAGGAGAGGTAGTTAGTGTAGTTAGGTAAATTGGGTCTAATATTGAGTAAGATAAATAAAATAGAAACCATTGTTGAGAATGGAGTCCAGGAAAGCAGAGCAGCACTTGGGGAAATTGAAATGTTAATGTCCCCAAGGTCCTGAACCCATCCTAAGGAACTGTTAATGAAGCAGCTCCCAGCAAACAGGGGAATGCTAATCAAGAGCTGCCCCAGGCCCTTCCTGCCCAGATCACTCCTTCAGCCCACCTGTCTCCCACCTTTTGGTCCTTCCCACCTGCTTTCTATCACTGCAAGATAAAGGGAAACAGAGGACAGGCATGTGGGAAAGCTGAAAGAAGACCTTAGCTATACAAAAGGGAAGACCCCCCCCCCTTCCAAGGATTCCACCTTTTGGGTCCCCTTCTTCCTTCAGGGAGAAGTCCTTTCTGCTGTCCTTTAATAAAGCTTCTACTTTCCACTCTCCACTTGCCTGGGCCTGCTTCTCTGGTGTTATACTTCAGCATAACACCAGAAGCAAGGACTGTCACCAGTAAACAGCGGTAACACCTGTGCATTTGTTCTGTTTTCATGAAATCCCTTGCCGAGTGGGCATCTGACACTCTGAGCTACATTGAAGTCTAAAGTCTGCCCAGGAATCAGGGGGGAGACTGGGGCTAAATTCAACAACTCAAAAGAGAATGTGTTTTGGAGTTTATGGATCTTTAAGCTCATCTTTCACCTTTTATGACTTGGTGAATCCTACCCTCCGGTAATGAGCGTGGACACAGATAATCAAATTACTGTCTGGATCTCCAGGAAGTTTAGGGCAGGACAGTGTAGTCTCTCACTTGCTTTGCAAAGGGCGGTACTATTACATTCCCTGGGATTTGGCTTGAACCATTTGAACATTTTTTTCAGTCTTAGTTTTGAAATGAAAACTCTTGGGGAGTGAAGGACCGAAACCTTGGCAGGCAGCAGTGTGGAGTCAACGGACCCCCTTCTCTGGCCCATGGGTGAGGGGTTTGCTGCTGGAGTAGATAAGATTCAATGTAGTTAGCCACTGTCAACATGCCCTGGTGTAAATGCAATGCCCTCCTTGGCTTTCCCATAGGAAAAGTGGATCTCGTGACACTAAGACTGTCATTTCTCAACTACAGGGATCAAAGCACCCTTTCTCATAAAGAGCTCTTAGACATTGGTCCTCATAGGTGCTCACTGCGGGCCAGACTTGGGGATATCACCTGATGTTCAACATTTATAGGTTGATATATTTACCAGTGCATGTCTTATTTTAGATGTAAAATTTACACACACACAGAAAATGGGGCATATCTGCAGGAAATAAGTTTTACCACTTGATGGTAGAGTATCAGCTTGGGTTAGGGGTGACTAGGGATGGCTCCACTGCTGTCCCTTGATTGTCCTTTTGGCCATTTATTTACCCCCATGTGACCACCATTACAATAAATATATAAAATATTTACATCACTGCTTTCTTGCCTACGTACCCACTGATCTGTTTTCTGTCACTACAGATTATTTTTTAAAGTTTCTTATAGATAGCCGCATACAGTGTGCATTTTTTTTTTCCATGCCTGGGTCTTTCATTTGGCCTAATATATTTAAAGTATTTTTACCAAAGTGTAATTTACAGCATAATTCATAATTTTAAGGGTACATTTGACAACTTAATAAATGTGTGCAATTATGTAATCATTGATAAAACAGAATATTTTTATGGCCTCCTCTCAAAATCCTCTCATTCTCCTTTGCAGTCGATCCCTAACCTGCCATGCCTAACCTGCCATCACGCTCTCGTTTTTAGATGTTGTTATAGCAGATGTTGATTTTTAATTTCTACAAGTTCCATTTGTATCTTTTTTCATAGCTCTTATTTCTTTCATCATCTTGTTTCTGTTTTCTTTTTTATCTTTGAAGTTGTTTACAGGGTTTTAAACTTTTAGTCTTTTAGCCTCTTTAAGGTCCTTATCTGCCGATTCCATTATTTCTGCCATTTCTGGGTCTATCTCCATTGAGTCTATTTTGTTCTGTTATAGGTCATCTTTTTTTTTCATGCTTAGTGAATTTTGATTGGATGTTGAGCATTGTGAATTTTATGTTGTTGAGTTCTCACTCTACTGTATTGCTTTCATGATTTTTTTTTTTTTCTGGGTAAGTAGTTAAGTTCCTTGGGATGGTTTTATCTTTTCAAGATTTTCTTTTAAATTTCTTATGGTGGCCCACAGTAGCCTTTACTTAGGGTATTATAATTCTTGATAACTCATAATTATTTTTGCTTTGAATGCTTACTTTAAAAAATATTAAAAATGACAAAATTGTCTTATTTTAATAACATTTACCATTTCTTATTCTTTATTTTTGATATAGGAATAATTTTCTTTATAATAATATAATTCCTTTCCCCTCCTGAAGAACTTCCTTTAACATTTTTTGCAGCTTTTTTGGTGGGGGGAAGGGAATTGAGGACTGAATCCAGGGCATTCCACATGCTCAGCAAGGGCTCTGCCACTGAGCTCCACCCCAACATTCCCACCCCTTAGGATTGCTTACTAAGTGGATCTCTTAGGTTTTGCTTGATATAATTTTTGAAAGATATCTTCTTTGGATATAGAAATCTAGAATGAGAGTATTTTTCTTTCATTACTGAAAAGATGTGCTTCTATTCTCTTACTGTTTGCATTGTTTCTGGCAAGAAGTCTACCGTTTTAATTCTTCATTCCTCTACTCAACGTGTATTTCCTTCTCCAGTTACCTTTAATATTTGTTCTTTACCACTGGTTTGGAGCAGTTCAATTATGATGATGTTGTAGTCTTCTTTATGTTTCTTGTGTTGGGATGCTGCGATCTGATAATCTGTGTTTACAATTAGATTTGGAGCATTGTTAGTTCTTTTTCCTTTAAACTTTTAAAAAAATCCATTCTTCTTAATCTGGGGTCTTGTTCACAGAAAATGTACATCTCCCATAGATTGCATTGTGCACAGTGCATTTTTTTCCCGGTGTGTGCATTTTTTCCCTGTGGATAGTTGATATTGCTATGCTTAAGTTTACTGAACTTTTCTTCTCTATATTTTTTTAATCCCAACCAGTATACTTTTTTCATTCAAATATAGTATTTTCTTACCTTTGGAATTTCCATTTGTATCTTTTTCATTCCTCTGTTTCTCACTTCATCATGTTCATGCTTTCTTTATATCATGAGCACAATTAAAATATTTTTTAGTAATAGTTTTTAAGCTCTTGACTGCTAATTCCATTTTCCCACTCTTGGGTTTCTTTCTATAGACTAAGCATTTTTTCTTGTTGTGAATTATATTTTCTTTTTTCTTTGCCTACCTGGTAACTTTTGATCAAATACCAGACATTATGAGTTTTATGTTGTTAAGGGATTGTGTCATATTCCTTTCATGAACATCAAACTTTTTATGGCAAGCGGCTAAGTTACTTTCAGCTTGGTTAAATCTCTTTGTGTTTTATTTTTAAACTCTTTCAGGACATGGCTAACTTGGTCTTAATTCTAAGTCAGTTCTATTTCTAAGGCGTGGCCCTTCTGGGATATTTATGATATGCTCCATAGTCAAGAGATTGTCTCTCTACTTTGCCCCACAAGAACTGAGCATTACCAATCCAGTGTGATCTCTGGGTATTGTCTGTATACCATTCTTTGGTGACTGTTCTTTTTCCTTGCATTGTAGGTTTTCACTTTACACATACATAGACATGTAAAGACTTCAAAGGACTTAAATGCAGATTTCTAGAGTTCTTTCTCTGCCTGGTTCCTTCCTTCCAGCTATTTCCCCCACAGAGTTGTTTTGGACTCCTAAACTCATATCTTTGTTTTCCTCAACTCGGCAAGATTGTTGGGCTGTGTTTGCATTTTACCATCTTGTTCTGAAGTCGAGAAAGTTCTTCCCAGAAGAAATGTTGTCGATGGGCTTGGTTCATTTGTTCATTTGTTTTCCTTTTTTCAAGAAGAATGATCCTGCACATCTTGTAAACTTCCTGTAACTTGTTCAGTTTCCTAGTTGCTTATGATGGGATAGGAGTTCTGGATCCTCACAGTGCAACTTTATTTTTTAAAGCACGTGTTAAAATAAGTATCAGAAGGGTTCTAAATTTATTTTGTTATCAATGTTTTTTAATGATGATATGAATCTGATTTTCACAAGCAGGATCTTATTTGCACTTAATAGAAATAAAATCATTGCTGTTTATGATTTAACATATACAACCATTGAGGCTGTAATTCAGTGGTTATTAGTCCCCCCAGATATATTCTGCACTTTGTTAGGAATAATAATAGTTTCAGCATTAATATGGAAAATGCATTTGCTAGATATTCCAACAATACATCTAAAGTTCATAGACACAGAACAGGACACGTTTTAGTCGTAATTAGGAACTAATTAAAGAGATTGGTATTCTGTTCTTGTTTTGACTTTTTTGCTTTTGCATACCTTCTTTGCTTGCTTTATATGACTTAACCATATGAATAGTCTCCACCAAAGGATCAAGGTGAACCATGTCCCAACCATGAATAATTACCCACATAACTAGTGTCTAAAAATAAACCATGATGTAGTTAAAGAAATCAGGCAGTGAGAGTAACTAGAGATCATATCAAAGCAGCAGTGAGTTCAGACGCTTGGGTCAGCATAGGGTCTTTCAGACTTCCTACCATTGCTCAAGGCTCCCATGTTAGAACACCTGGAATGTCCCACTTAGAGAAGGGTCTGCAATGGCTGGAGTCACCTTGCCACCCACCTTGAGGGATAGAAAGGACTTTACCACCTCTGCCCACATTCATTTCCTGTAGTTAGTGATCTTTTGATACCTGGTGGTTGCTGCAGTAGCCATTGGTTTCTAGACAGAAAAGGCAATATGTCCCTGGTACCTCACATTCAGGGTGCATTTTCAAAAAAATTATTCCCAAATAAGGGTGAGGTAGAGTTGCAAACAAGTTATTGTGCTCCAGTCTGTGTACAGTAGAGGCTAACTTGGCTTTTGGGTTAGGTGAAGAACTTGGTTTTTGAGACAATATGAGTTTCAAACTTCAGGGGGCCCTTGTTATCCTCAAATTCATTAGAAGAGTTCCTATGGTTATGAGGCTGCAGGATGCAGAGGGAAACCAACATCAGAGGCAAGCAAAACCATCAAAGCCTGAAAATATTCACTAATGATGTGACCACTTGGGAAATTAGTCTTTAGACAAACAACCTTCCTGGATCCATGCTAGAGTATTTCCCAGCTCACAATGTCAAGGCCTTTTGTGGCTTGTCTCTTGTTGGTGGTCAGATGTTGTTAACATTCAACAATAAAATTCAAAAGAGTCAAGAATTCATAAAATTGATGAAAATATTGTTGGAATCACACTTGAAGTTTTAACCAATGAGTCTGGCAGAGTTAACCTGAAGAGCAAATGAAGGAATGAATTTAGTAAAGATAAGTCCAGGATATATAACTCTTCACAGAAAATGATTTGACTACCAAAGGATTAAGGGAAGAAGTGGAAAAACTAATGATGTCCTACAATTTTATTTTTCTAATTACCTTTTTTATGACCATACTGAAAAAGCCAAGCATGAATTTAAACTAAACTATGTCTCATTAGACTATCCTGAATTTATTTGAAAAAATATGGATAACCCTCTTAAAACCCTCATGCTATTTATCTTTTGAAAGTTAAGGAATAATTGCAGTATAGCCTAGATTTTGTTAAATATAAATTTATCTTTCTTAAATTTCAATTTTACCAGGATGAATTTTCTATCAATTTTTTTATATTTAGCATGGCATTTCAGCTGAATATTTTATTGATGATATACCATTTACTTATGGTATACAACATGATGTTTTTGATATTTGGATATATTGTAGAATGGACAACTGAAGCTATTTAGTATACATTATCTCATATACCTATTAATTTTTTTTGTGGTAAGAACTCTATAATAAATCTCTTCCCTAAGCAATTTTCAAGAATGCAGTATATTGTTACTATATTTTGACCATTAATCAATTGTGTTAATATATTTCTTACAAAATAAATTTGGCATTATAGTCCTTTAGTAACTGAGATATGCCATCAGGTGATTTTCCTGGCATAATTCTTTGAGATGAGTATCAGTGTTTCTGGAGGGCTCTCTAAATGCACATTACCCATAACAGACAAGCTGCAGTGATGAACACTAGTTATAACCTTGCTTCTGGCCCAACAGCCCTTTCAGGTTCTCTTTATGACAAGAAAAAAAGGAATCTACAAATCCTAGAACCTAGAAGGTCTTCCTGGTGTAGCCTGTATTCTGGTTTCATCTCTCCCTTCTCCCTCCCAGTCATGCCTCACCTTTTCATTCTGGTTTCATTTCCTCAAACAGTGCACTCTCTCTCCTGGCCCTAAGGCAGTCTGGTAGCAACCATAATCATCCTGGTAATTGTTGGGATGTGTCCTTTAGCTTTAAATATTGACAACCAGATGTGGACTACCCATGCTGCCATCTTGGGTAAGAATGAATACAGTCACATTTTAAAAAATTTTATTTCTCCAGAGACAAGCTGAAGACACATTTCCTTCTTTTAGTAGGATGTTTTTATTCATGTTCTTGATCTCCTCTACCCTACTTCTACAATTATTTAAGCACCTTGGAGATTTTTTTCAGTACAAAGGGTCAATTTTGCCCTAAATACCAGCAGATAAGGAACAGAGATGTCTGATGAGTTAGCTAATGGGCCCCAGTTTGTGAATGCTGTTGTGGTTCAAATATCTCCTGCAACATATGCCCATAATCCCAGAGGCTTGGGATCTTGAGTTCAAAGCCAGCCTCAGCAAAAGTGAGACACTAAGCAACTCAGGCACTAAATACCCTGTCTCAAAAAAACAAAAACAAAATAGGAATGGAGATGTGGCTCAGTGGCCAAGTGCTCTAGAATTTAATCTTCAGTATCCCCCCCACACACAAAAAAACTGTATGTGGAAATTTAATTGCTACTGTGATATTAAAAGATGGGTCCCTTAAAAGGAGATTTGGTCCTGAGGGCTGTGCTCCACATATGAATTCTTGTTGCTTTCTCATGAGTATGTTAGTTATAGAAAGAGTGGGTTTGTTTTAAGTTCAGCTACTTCCTACTACTCTCTCTGACTCATTTATACTCACTTGCCCTTCTACCACGTTATCCAAGATGACCATTGTCAGGAGATACAGCAGCTCAATCTTGGATTTCCCAGTCTGCAGAACTCTGAGACACAAATTTCTTTCTAAAAATAATTTACCCAGTCTGGAATTAAAAAAAAAAAAACAACACTAAGATGGTTGCCACGATTCATTTTCTGCCCCGTGGTTGTTCATAATGGCTCTGTGTGGTCCAATGTACCTTTGTTCAGTTTCTAAGGTTGTCCTTTCTCATCTATATCTGCCAGGTCTTAATAGCACCATTGGTATAGTTTTTTTTTTAAATTTTATTCTCACAAGCCCAACCAAATGATCAGAGAATGATCTTTCTGAAAGAAAAGCCATGCCTGGAGGGCATTCCATTTTTCTGCCATATGCTGTGCCAGAAAGCCATTTCTGTCCCCTCTGTCTCTTTTCTCTATCCCCTGAGTTCTGGAGTTGAGCCTAGGCCATTAGCCATACTCACCATTCTTTCATGGGGTACTACTCCCGTTGGGATTTTGGGCTCCTCTCCTACCAAGTGATTTCAGGTTAGATTGCTCCAATCCATTAGATAATCTCTCAATAACATGGAACCTCAAAAAGAAAAAGACACCTGGGACACTTGCAATTTTTCCCTTTGCATCTCAGCAAAAGATCTACATCTCCAAGATGTTTTTCTGAGGTGCAGTTTCCTAAACCACAGTGAGATCTGATACCACTTTTCCCCAATTTGTGATGCCTACCCACATTACACTGGCCTAAGGATATTAAGAGCAGGCGTCTCAAATGAGAGCCCCCAGAACTTCCAGAAAGCTTCTCCAACCTGTTGAACAGTTCACCACTCTGGTCAAGAACTGTTACCTTCTCTTGCTAAAAACTGTTAAGTCAGCCTCTCTACACACCCTGCTCCTTCTTTTTTTTTGCCTTTGGACCCAGCTCAGTGCCTGGCACATAACAGGCATTCAGGGAATATTTGTTGAGTTAATTTTTTTTTTTAATCTGACCTGATTGGATGAAAAACTCAGCCCAGGGCGAAAGGGAAAAGCAGGAGTTGGGGATGGGGTGGGGAGTGGTGAGGGTTGGGCAACCGTAGGTAAATATAAGTGTTGGGAGTGGTTAATGTTGATTTCATAGATGAATTAAAGCATTTGATAACCCTGTAAATAGACTACTGTAGATTTATATAAACGGCACACTTAGCTTGTAGTTATAAGAAGCTAAAATAACTGCATGAAAAATGAAAGAGTCCATCAATTAAATGCTTGTTTTGCCTACGTGAAAGTCAAACAACCAATTGGACTGATTTTTTTTTCTTTTCTGAATTGCCCCTTTGTTCCATGACCCAACACTGCAGTGCAAGCTGCCAGCTCAAGGCATTGCAGACTGCTGCACGGTCATAGCACTCTGCAGGCGCCTGTGTAAAAATGAAGCAGAGCACACTTGCTAAACTCTGATGCTATCTCAGTAAAGACTTGGTAAAGTGACCGATTGGGTTGTTTACCCAATGGGGTTATCAGGTTATTGAGTCTTCTTCTAGGGCATTATATATAGAGAAGTTTGAAGGAATAAATAAGGAGAATAAATGTAGAAAATAGAATACATGTTATGAGGTCTCTAATGTAAAGGCGATTCTATTTTCTTGGATTGTAGTTGAAAAGGGCACATTTACATATCTGTGTAATTATGTGCTTCTTAATGACCCTGTAAAAGGTTGAATACTAGCCCCCATATCTTGCAAGATGTCCAAGTTCCAATCCCAGGCATCTGTGAACATGCTACCTCATATGGCAAAGGGAACTCTGTGGAATGTATGATTTAGATATGAGGTATCTCCCAAAAGCTTATGTGTGA